TATATGTAATGTTATAGACCCCTGCGTATATTGACATGCTTCACCAATCTTCACCATATATAAGGTTTGGGGGTGCTTGTTAGCCACTCAAGAGGTTATCAATATTTACCAACTACTGTAAGACTTTTCCAAGGTGGAAGGAAGAAGCCTCCAGAGCTGTTGGAGGTGTTACAGATGGTCGTCATTAAGGTATAGCTTAAGCATATTTCTATGGCAAAAACTTTTTGGCCTGAACAACATCCCACCGCTACTCACGGTGGTTTGGCTTGTCCACGGAGGCAGCCACTGGAATTTCTCTTCACAAGTCCATCCCGAGCGCCGCAGACATGTGTGGGTACGGGTGTTTCCTTTTCCCGTTCCGAACGGCGACTAGAAGTAGACACCTGTTGGAGGTCGCTGAGGCGGAGCGATCGAGCTTCTTCGGAGTCCAACGGTCGTCCCACCTGTTGGGGCCATGGGGCCGGGTCGGAGGGACCCCAAGCCACGATCCTTTGCCCTTTTGGTTGATGTGGCTGGCCATGTATACACTTGTGCAGTATGGCACAGTCCAACAGCAATTCGACTAGTTTTGACCATTACCATGAGAAGTTTCCAGTGCACTTCAGGACTTTTTCAACCACCAGACTCTGCACGGCACTGCGCGACCGCACCTCGCGTCGACCGAGAGACGCCAAGGCTCAAGTCCTCCAAGCGCTGGCCGCCATCCATGGCGATGGGGCGCGGTGCCAAGCATCAGGGCCGGACCGGGGCGGGTGGGGAGCTGCTGGAGGTCGATGGTTGGTCTAGATGGGCTAGGATCTACTTGAGAGTCGGGAGAGGCTTCTGGTGGGGGCGGAGATCGGACAACAGCCAAAAATGGGGCCACCTGGAAGTGGACGATGACCCCCCGGAAGTGGAACGATGTCGTTTTTGTTTCCATCCTTTTGGCCTTCTCATGTTTGTATACCATCCACTTCGATGTGATGCGATTGTAAGAGTAAGTTGAAGTAAGGTGAAAGTCGGAAGATTTTGGTGTGGGAGGCAGCGTGAAACATCGTGAAGCCCTATGACAGGATGCAACATGATGCCACTCCTAGGTAGTGTTGGCATGGTTGGTTGGAGAACATATGCCTTGAAGGAACCCTGAAACCGACGAAACCCAGTGTCATGGATTGAGCTGACCAGACGGACCATGAGAGGATAGCTTTGCCAGATTTTGCTAGACGCGCGTTGAAACGTTCCACTCGAAAAATCTTCCCTAGGATGTTAGACTTATGTACATGGGAGTTATCCAAAAGGTCCTTGTAAGGGTTTTTAATGTCGAGAGCCTTGGATGACATGATCGTGGGTCTCGCGAAAGTTTTTTTTCGAGTTCGCGAATGTTAATGTTTTTTTTTCGCGAAAGATTCGCGAAAGTATGAATTTTTATTGTATGTTCTTTGGTGAGCCTTCAGCAGCTTCAGCATAAACCACATCCTTTTCTGACCGTCAGCAGCTTCAACTTTGGAATCCGTGTGAAGCTTCCTTCCTGTTTCATGTAGTCCACCCTATGTTATGTATGCCATAAAAACCTCCAAAGCACAGGGATTATTTCGCGAAAGTTTCGCGAAAGTCTGGCGAAGATTTCGGCGAATGAATCGGCTCCAGAGGAACCCCGTAGCCCATAGCAACCCCACAAACTGTATTTAGAAATCGAGTCCCTACCAGGCTAAATGGTTTCATGACATGGTGAACCCCCGCGAAAGAAAAACACAGGGTTCGCGAAAGTTTCGCGAATGTTAATTTTTTTTTCGCGAAGAATTGCCGTTTCAATAAACAAGAATATTGGACAACCACCACATATTAAGACCTGGGTTGGCCTCTTTATTTTATATATAATATACTGTATTTTTGTTTGCAACATGCTTCTTCTCTTGCTAGTCACCGGCTGGACATGTTTTTCCTCTGCAAGTGAGCGGCAAACTGTTGCATGACATGGTAGATTCTGATAGATGCTTGATTCAAGAGAGGGACTGTCAAGGATGTTTCCCTTGTTCACCGTCCAAAATCCACATCAAAGAGAGCCTTTGCTTGGGGTCGCTTTGGCAATGCGTTGTTGGTGGACGCAATCCAACACCACCTGCCTTGAACCAACAAATAGCGTCCTTGCTCCAGCCTCCTAGGTGTTGTTGTCACTTGACGTAGAAAGTCCGGAATTTCTGAGGCACCAGTGCAAGAGTCGCCAGTTGCACTGCTAGAAGCCCAGTTTCAGCATGGAAAGGGCAAGCGAAAGGGGTCATGACCACTGCCCCAAAGACATTGTCATGCAGCACGGTGGCCAAAGCTCTTGATTTCGAGAGAATAGACCTGTGGCAAGCAGGAGGAACAGTATTCGATATATCATTAATATTTACAGAGGTTTCAGAGTAGATGGCACAAACCCCTACATGTCTTTTAGATGGGGGTCCATATTCACCACCGACCTTGGGGATTGTGCCATCTACTCTGAAACCACTGTATTATATATATTTATATATGGATCTTTGGCGATAACTTTTCGATAGGTCACCGGAACAGTGGATGAACATCTGAACCTGGACCGTTCGGGTTTGCTCCAACGTCCCAACACAGGTTGTTAGGTGCTTTGCCCTACTGGGCCCACTCAGAAAGTCATGACTCATGACTGACTATCAACTGCCATGGAAATCCTCCGAATCTCATCCCAACCTACACTTCAAGCCGCGCAGCAGATCCACTGCCTTGAATGCTCAATCAACTGCGTCGCGTCGGCCAGAGATGCCCTCCACCCTCATTCCGCCCGGACGTCGGGCGCCTTCGCTTCGTGGGTGCGAGAGCTGGCGAGCTGGCTGGCTTTCAGGAGCAGCGACCTCTGAGAGTTTGAAACACCCAGATCTACCAATCTACCGACTTGAACCGACTTGAGCCTTTTTGCCGAAGGTCCCATGGCTTTCATCTGAAACAAGGGCCATGTCCACCCACACCGCCCACACCACGTGGATGTCATGAACAACCTCAGGACAACCACGGGCAGTCCGCGAAGACGACAGACTCTGAGGCCTGGCACTGTGATCCCCCAGCTGCTGAGCCGAGTTCTGCAGTCCAGCCGGGCGCTGAGGGACCGGGGTAAGTGGACCCATTTCGGGGGGCACGGATGGGCTCAGGGTACCGATGGGCTCAGGATGGCTCAGGGTTTTGCCTTTTTGGGGGGGGCAGCTTGGTTTCGGATGACAGCGAGACCGCATGTTGCTCTTCCAACACCTCGTGATTGGGGGTGATTGGATGGAGCATGCAGAGCCAGGAGTGTTTATAAACAAGCCTTTTCCGTGGTGCTGGTTCGGGGTGTTGTAGTTTTGTTGTGTTGGGTTAGTTTGGGTGTTCGCTGTGCAGAAGATACTGTGACCAGGTCGCCGCACCCTTGGAGATGTGGGAATTGTGAGGAGGATGAGGCACCTGAAGTCATGTTGAGGCACCTGAAGTCATGTTGAGGCACCTGAAGTCATGTGGTGGACCTATCTTATAAGGGACGATCTCAAAAGCCAGGTTGGCCATGTATCGTGATGTTCACATGATGCACTGATGCTAAACCAACACCGAAGTCAAACACCCTCTGTTCATCTCAGCTGCGCAACCCCTCCTTAACATCCCATGGTCTAAACATGTCCAAAATGAGTGGCGTTTCCTTATTGAATCATTAAGAAATAGCGAAATATATAGAACCGGTGTCCAATACATTGTTAGCGGGGATTTACTTTTCCATTTATTTGGGGGTTTATATAGACTTAACTCCCCAGACGCTTGCGAAGGCATTTGTGCGATACAATTATGTGTGGTGCGAAGCCTTTATAACTCTTAGATTTCACGCAGGCGAAACCATTTCGTGAAGGCTAAACATATATACATAATACATATACATATATATATATATATATATAATGTATGAAAGGTAGGAAAACCAATTAGTGAGGCTGTGTTGCGAAGCTTTGCGAAGCCATGCTTCCCACATGCTCCTGCGAACCCTCCAGCGTAGGCAAGCCAGCAGTGTGTACGCAATTGACCTTCAAAAGAAACAACTTGTTAAACCATTGGGTCCAAGATGGTCAAAGTGTCCAGCCTGAGGTCACACCTGTTGGCTTTGTTTGACCAGCTGAGGTGCTGATTGGGAGCAGCAGCCGCGCTTTTTGGCGCGATCCCCAGCAGTCGGCCCGATGTGGCAGGAAGTGCGTTGGATCAGACCCCCAGCAGAGAGCCCCAAGTCTTCATGTGTAGACTCTTGATGAATAAACCCTCCATAAATAAAGAGGTGTTTCAATCCAAATGGGGTGGGATTAATCAAGAGTCTACATTAAGGAAGTGTTTGATCAAGTCCACCTGTTTGCAGAGTCTGGGTCCAAGAGTATGTGTGATGGGTTTCCTGAATATTTTTGCTGGTGTATTGATAATGTTTTGTTTGCGACTTAACTTACTTTTGGAGGGTCAGAGTGGGGCCCCCAAAGGTAGACAAGGTAGACATACAGTGGTCTTTGGGGCCCTACAGTATGTGGATGTTCCAGGGCCCGCGCCAGCGACAGACTCGGACTGGTGCTTGACCATGTGCTCAAGAATTTGACGTGCGAGTTTGAGCCATGTCAAGATCAGTCAGTTGATTAGATGATCAGAATCATATAATATATATATATAGTTGTGTTCCAGTCATGTACAAGTTTCAATAGCCACCCAGGAGGCATGTGCATTGTGTTTGCAAAAGAGGCCTTCTCCCATGTGAAACAAGCAGGAACATAACTCACAAAGAGTTGCACCTGTTAATTGTGTGTGCGCATGCCAGATGCAAAGGAGTACGATTGCTGACGGGTCCAGGACTTTCATACGTTTTACAATCGTGATCAATCGTGTTTATATATATACATGTTTATACTATAACTAATTATAGTTATATATATATATATAGTCGTATATATTACTATACAATGGCTTTTGAGGACCATGTTAACAGCTACTTGTGCATTCTACTCCATCCTCACATCAGAGAACGAGCCCTAACGAGCCGCAGTTCTTTTTCCGCAGTTCGCCATGCGATCCATGCGCGCGTGGAGTTGGGTCAATAAGACTCCTGCATCGTGCTGTGTGTCACGCAGACTCAGGACAGTGCTGGCTGTGAAGAAGGTATACTATATAGCTCAGGTAAGCTGACGTGAACCAAACACTTGCATAATCCGACCCACCTCCCATTTGATCCTTGTTTCATCTTGTTTCTATGTTACTCGTTTTGGAAAACCTTAGATTCAGATATTTGGGTCTTGGCTGAGATCCTGAGTCCTAAATCAAGAAATGCTACAGGGATTCAATGAGAACCGATCATTTGGAACACATCCTCAGAACTTTCTCTTGGCCCAGCCCAGCTGAGCCAAGAGTTTTATAGGTATGCTCATGCACAGTTAATCTTTGCATACCTCATGTTTGCATTTGGGTCAGTAGAATTTACAATCATATGTCACTTGACCGCAGGTCACATCACCAGCATTTGCACTTCAGAACTGCATTAACTGCATTGCACTTGGCCACACATCATGAATCACTGGCAGACTGCTCGACTGTCAGTACTGCAGCCAGAGAGAGAGAGAGAGAGGAATGAATCACATCACACCATCACAACGCACTGCACCACATGACGCCACATCCCCTTGACCGTGGAGCACACCGGCCGAACGAGGAAAACCCAAAATCCGAAGGCAGCAACCCTGTGGAGCAACGCTGGGGCGAATCGAAGCGAACCCCAGCAGCGGGCGGCCTCACTACTATGCAGGAGGGAGACTAAACATATCACATCTCTCCGCTTTTGACACGTCATCTTTAAGCTCTCCATCACCAGCGCGCATCTTCTGGACACATGATCTCACATCATTTTGTATCATGAGAGCATTGCACCAAAAACAGCCTTTGCCACTCAGATCACCGGAATCCATCACAGTGAACCTCAGAGGTGACCTCAAGGCACAAAGCAAAGTGACCTCAAGGATGATTCAAGCTGCTATTTTTGGATGGAGGCTGCATTTTAGACATGTTCTTGTTATAAACCACCAACCTACCTCATGTACCATCCTCAATCCACCAAGAACCGCTTCCGCTCGATGCATCGATCCAGCGGGGCCGTGTCTTCGGACCAGCGACTCGGCAGGACGTGTGGGCCTTTGGTGCTCCGCAGCTGGCGGACTGCTCCACCGCCAGGTGCCATGGTCTCATTGGGAAGAAGGATTGGGTGTTTTTCAATGACAGGTTCGAACAGCATGACGCTATATGCAATAGTATACAGAAAGCGAGGAAAATCTGAAAAATGTCAAGCACTCGAAAGTATGGCAGCCTAGCCAAGCCGCCAGCCCCATGGCCAAAGCAGACTAGGAGGTGCACTTGTGGGTAGAGGTCTCAAACAGCAGCCAGGTCAACTTAAACACTCCTTGTGAAGCCATGGAAGAGGAACATGTTGGAAGGCTAGAGGGCTACGCCTACGCAGCTTGAACAAGTTTGCTGCTATAGGTGCCTGTTATGTTCAATCCCCGATGGGTGGTCAGAATATATAGGCAGGAGATGGCAGGAGCTTTCGCGCCTTCCAATGCAACATATTCTGGCGTCATATGTTGGTTTTATCCTCACTGTGAGTAACTGGAGCTCCTCGAGGTTCAGATCATTCATACAGCATCAAAATTGACTGAGGCAGGATGAGGTGGGTGGCAGGGTATGTGCGCAACACTGCGTATGAGGTTGGACTCCCATTTTCATTTGAAAGGACCTTCCGGTTGGCACCTACTTATCGATGGGGCGGCCGTACCCACCAACTTAATGTTGAAAGCCCGTCTGTCTGTTTTTTGTATTACGTAGAGGCTTTTCTATACCTGGGGCCTGGGGCTTGCTTGAAATGAAATGGATGCGCTTTTAACTGTCGTTCTTGGAAGTACTTTACCCAGGGGATAGATATTGGAGCGTGATAGAGAGACAGGGGACAGATACAAGAGCGCGCGAGAGAGGGCGAGTGGCTAAAACAATGCTGAACAGCTCGGGGGCCTCATGTTGTTTTACTTTCTTGTTTTCGGCCTCAGGTTTGGCCGAGCGAGACATTCACAAACATTGCGATTTGCCAAAAGCTGACATGCCTGGCGTTCCTCAGACTTTGGTAGGCCATGGCATGTATGCTCCACCCAAAAAAACAGGTCATCCACCGGCCCACCTGGAACAAAAGGAACCACACTTTGTCGTCTCATTTCCATGTTTCAGTTTCATGCCTGGCCTTCCTGGAACGCCTCGACCTGTCTGAGACCTCATAGGCCTACAGACTGGTCTGGCGGCGGCAGCAAAACGAGGAGTCTCAATTCTACTCTCAGAGCAAACTAACAAGTGCTCGAGTGCAAGGAGAGAACAGAAGGGACTCAGAAGGACTCCGAATGACTCTCAATCACTCTGAGCAGTTCAGAGTGATCCAGAGTCACTGGAGAGAGCTGTTTTGCTTTAGGTTGCTCTCAACTTCTCTGATTTGCTCTGAACTGCTTTGAAACGCTCTAGGTCTCTCGAAACGACCATGATTGAAAGGGTCCCAAACAGATAAATTCTACTCTCAGATGCTCTCAGAGTAGAATTGAGAATCCTCGTTCTGATGCCCCATTGTTTGCCGCCTAGGGAATACAGTTTGGTACCTGATCTTCCTTCCCCGTGCTCAGTATACGCTTGGACGAAGTAAGCCATAAGCCTCCCGTGGTCTCCCCACGTGACCTGCCCAGTCGGCCAACGGCACATCGGCACTTCTTGGCTGGTCACGCGGGTCGCCGAAGTGTCCCGCGACGAGGCGCGGAACCGCGCCGTGGGACACCGCGCGAAGCTCCGCGAACGGGCCACTCGCCGATTCCCACCGGTGGGGCCGCGGGAATCGGACGCGGGAACGTGACTTCGGCTGAGGAGGGTGGTTTTGATCGTTTTTGATCCGTGGGAGCGCTAGGGCGGAAAAAAGGTAACAGCTGCAGTTAAAAGATATTGGAATTCCCCATGGTTGAGTCTTCACATGCCAGGTTTTCACGTGCCTTCTTTATCCTTTAAATGTGTCAAATTTTTGGTTTGGTGGTTGCTGTCGAGGGTGGCGCAGTTTCAGCCGATTCTAGGCACTATGCCAACGGCCAATGTTTTCATGGTTCATACCAAAAGTACCATGGTGTTAGACTACAACACCAGATCAGCCGGGCACTCCTTTTTTTACGTGTTTCGGGATGAGGCCCCTTTAAGGGGCTCCGACACATGGCACCGTTCGATCCGGAAGTTCCTTCACGTCCGACCCAGGTCTGGCCCGATGTCAGGCCAGTCTCAAACCTCGGTCTTTTCGATCTTCCAGCTGGCTTGCAGATTCGAGGTGTCAGTGGCTGACGTGCTGGCATTCTTGCAATTTGCAGCTCGGCCGTTGGTGGAGGATGGTGGAGGCCTTTTGGAGCGATGGAAGCAGAGCTATCCTCAAATAGATTAGTTTAAGCCCACCACTAGTGCTTTATCGTTTTATCTATTGTTGATTCATATCACTTCGTTTGTGTGCGTGGGGTCATGTATTTTCACTTGGGAAGCCCTACATCCTATGTTTGTCCGATGTACCGTTTTGTCCTTTGGCATTGAACTAGTTAGTTGATGTTAGTTGTCAGCACTTGGTCATAAGCCGCGAAGCTTTGCGAAGTGTTTGCTTCTCAAAACAAGAAAGGAAGGCTCAAAAGATAACGGTGACCTTTATGCACAGTGGCGCTATGTGGCGCTGCAGTTGTTGTTTTCCTGACCTCTTCAGCTTGCAGTTGTGAGGTCTTAGCAGGCAATCCCCAATTGTTTGAAGTCAATGCCTACCACCCCCACAAGTCATGCCAAGTCCAAAGAAGATATGTCTGAAAACCTTGCACGTACGGTCGAGGTCACCTCAACGGCATGCAATTCACACAGTTTTTTCAACACAACTCGAGGTAATTCTGGCTCGGTTGCTCACGTTGGTGGCTGTGGCTCGGTGGCTCGCCTGATAGGTTGATATCGTTGGTATAGTTAGTACCCAGACACGACCCATGGGACTGCCATATATGCCGATCAATTGACCCCCTGGCACCACCCCTGGCCTGATCGGCAGTCCTATGGCAGTCCCATGGGTCGTGTCTGGGGTAGATGTTAGTCGTTTTCCGTGGTCAACCTAGGCCCCCCGGTTTTGACATGTTTTGACCCAGTCCCCAGCTCTATGTCCCAGCAGGGGCCCGTTCCATGTGTAGCGGTCCTGCGCAGGGTGGGAACCCCAGTTTTGATCCACAGGCACTGCTATAGGGGGGTCCCGAGAGCGGTCAACGCAGCGTGGATCACGCCGCGCGTTGTCTCCCTTTGAGGAGATCCATGGCACCTTAGCAAGCATCTGGGCTGAAAACTCATGGCACTTCGCGTCGAAAGGCGGTCTCTACGTGTCGAACAACGCATGTCCGGAGCTGTTAGAACCCCCAAGCTCCGAGATCAGAGGCTTTTTGGAGTGTTCCCATTTTGGCCATGCCCCCATGTCATCCATCTAGCTTCAATCATCCTAATCCCCAGTGGTTCCCATTTCCATTCCCTTTTCACTGCGTAACGCCCGACTCAGCTGGACCCCCTGACACTGCATAAGGTCGGTGTCGCGACTTGGGGATCGGTTCGGACTCGCTCCTCCGGGAGTTCCAGAACCGGCTGAGGTGGAGTTCTGTTGGAAGTCTGGCTTGTTGGTATGGTCTAGACCAGTGGAAGCCACTTAACGTCCACCATGCTGAGTTCCCAACATCCTGCCATAAAACCACTGGCAAATCTCTCCCAACAATCATGCACATGTCACATGTTTACACTTACCATGCCAACATCACCATCATCCCAAGCTTTCTGTGTTTGTTTGGGGATGATTTTGGGGAAAGCATGGGAAAGCTAGTGCTGGAGCACAAAAACATCACAGCCAGCACCACCATACCTCGGTCGCCTTGATGCCCAGACACGCCGGCGGAAGCGGCCGAGCGCATTGAACTGATGGTGCAGGTGGAACCGAGCGCTGGATCGGGGCGCAGGGTTTGGGACACGCATCAAATTTTAGTCAGAGTTGGTATAGGGATCTAGGACAATTCCCAGAAATCATTGGTGGTGGCATTACTACGAGTAACAAGAAGTTACTAGTAACAAGGTGCAACGCTACTAGTAACAAGGACGCTACGAACGTAGCTCCTGGCATTACTGCTGGTAGCCCTCAGTTGTGTGTGGCTTTTTTGGGACACGCGTCAATTGAAATTTTAGTCGGAGTTGGTATAGGGATCTACCACATGACCACATGTCTTTCCCAGACACCACCAACCACGAAGCAAAAAGAAAGCATTTCTCATACACTCCATGTATGGAATATATGCCTACATTGACCCCCAAAACCACCCCAATGTAGGCATATATGGCATACATGGAGCGTCTGGGTTTGTTTGTGTTTTTTTAGTTCGATCCTTTGGCTTGCGCTGATTCGGAGGCCGATTTGGACCCCGACGTCACTTGGAGAAGCAGGTGTCGCAGAGAGGGCTTCGGCGGTGTCGCAGATGATCGAAACATGCAGGATCTCAAGGTGTATAGGCATATTCATTATGACAAGGCGAAATCATCCACCTGCTCACGGAGGAAAAAAGGTTAAGTTGTCCTGTTCATGAGATTGTGTGTTGTTCCAATATTATTTCATGATATCATGTGTGTTCGGGCTTTGCTTGTTTGCAGTTCTGCACACGGTCAATGGTACTGGTAGTTCTGAGAAACAATGGTATACATTTCAAGAGCCGGTTTTTGAGTTCTCACAGCATGGAATATGTGCATACAATTAACCTCCCAGGCCTATTTGTTCCACAGTATGCAGAGTGTCCCAAGGATCACGTATACTTGGTTGGATCCATTTGGTGATCACATGTGCCCTAGGTCACCATTTTGGGAACCCCCCTAGGTTAATCACTTTTCAGCACAGTAGTGACAGAAGCATCAAACCGGGACAGGTTCGTGGTCTCGGCATCTAGCTTTGATTGTGGATGTGGGCGATGTGGTGATATTATGTAGGAACTCTGCAAACATGTTGTTAGATGCGATTCCGCTTTTTTACTGCAGGGAAGGATGAGGTATACCAGTTACATAAATGTTGGGCCACTTCTCATTTACATGGATTCATATGGATTTACACCTGTTTCACCTTTATTTATTGTGTTCCTTATTGTTGACCATGATACCAAAAAACGGCGCCATATATGCATTAATGCAAACAACAATACCCAGACACTCAATAAAACTGCAAAACTGCCGATCAATTGACCTCCCTGGCACCACACCCTGAGTCGTGTCATATGTCATTTCTACACCATTCAGTCCATCTCTCTTCGTCCCACCTCTGCTTACCTTGCTTTGAGGATCGGATCAGGCGTGGGCAGCGACGCATGGAGAGTATATATAGGTGGTGGTAGGTGGTGGTACCATCCCGAGTATAAGGTCGTGCAAAGTAACAGACATCATGGAACAGACATGTCAACCGTGGTGGTGCCATCTACGAAACAGGTTGAAACCACTTTTTTGCGACAGAAAAGGATGTTCAACCTGCGGGTTCCTAGGTTTGATCATGATGAGTTGACCCCCAATCTCTTCAAGGGAGTTGTTGCCGTCCTTTATGATGGTTTGCATGGTACTTGTGGAAAGGGGAGCGCCAGTGCACCACACATATAAAGCCGTGGATGTTCACAGTTGATAGCGGTTCTAGAGATTCTAGAGGCCAAGTTTGATCAAGAAGTGGTTAAACTGTTGTCATGAGTCTAGGTGTTGATGATTCACCACTCTATTCATATCCATCATCCTCATCTTATCATCGCCTCGCCAGCCACAGCTACATCAATGTTCTTTTTGTGATACCCAAACTGTGTGGAGATCTCATAGCTCAAACTGAGACTCTTGGCATATTGTGTATGACCATAGTTGACCTTTGTACTGCCCAAACTGTGTCTAGAAAAGGGATTCGCACGTACCCTGTCTTCCCCTTCATGAAGTCATCGAGTGTTTCTGGAAATTCTGGACGTTTAATTAGGCTTGAGACACTGATTGTGTGCACTCGCCTCCAAATCTACCTGTTTGAAGTTCCTTACCATGATGTGGACCCCTAATTCTGAAGCCAACATCTTCCAATATCTCCCCATCACTTCTCACTCCCAGCCCTGCTCCGGTACAGCGCCCTCTTGGAGGCTGGAAGATGCAGAGGAGATGTTGCATGAGTTGGGCGTGCCCGAGCTGAATCGCGACATGGCCCGAGCTGAATCGTCGCAGAACACCAGCATCCTCCGCCATGCGGGGCGTCTCTTTTTCGAACACAAAGAATGACACACACTCTGACATTGGTTTGCTGTTAACTCAATTCCCACGTCGAGAAGGAAGGTGAGGGAACAGTAAGGTGAAAAGGTCCGCGCACTTGAAATGTTAATGGTTGTACTCAGCTGGTAAACTCTCGCGCGATAGGCTGCAACTCACGAGCGGCAGAGAACTGCGGTGGGAAACTTGTTTGTGGGGAGTAGCATGAAGGACCATGGAAACAAACAGAAAGTGGACAAGCTTAAGCAACAGTTCCGTCAGCGCAGGTACGCCAGGATGGCCAATCCTGGTATCCCGTGTTCAGACTAGCTTCGTTGGGCGTAGTCATCTGAACACGCTACGCCCCCCTGCATTAGTGGAACGAAGACCCTTAGGAACAGGGGTTGACACACAAACACACACCTAATTGGGCGGGAAACGTTGGGCGGCCCAAGGGTTCAACGCAAAAGAGATGGATGGATGGCCAACCCAAGCCATGTCCAAAAGTTATGACTTGAGAACTCTAACGGCCCGGATGTGATGTTTCGCCCATCACACCTGACTGCCAGCCTCATGCAAGCAGTTGAGCAGTCTGCGCTTCTCCCAGGTGGACCAGGATCGCTTGATGGACTTCCTGGTGAAGGTGGGGGGACCCCAGTCGTCCAGGTGTGAAGACGGCGAAGCGGTGAAGCTTCACCAGATGTGTTCTTCATCGCTGTTCAAATCATATCATATCCTATAAGATGTGGTTGGGCATGCCCTATCATGTGGTTGGGCAGGGCATGGAACTTGGACCAAAGTTCATGTGAATAGGACCCATCATGTCCTTTTGGGACCCAAAGTGGTCCTCTTCTTCCATCACCCTGCGGTTTCGCATTTCTCCATCCAGGATGGGAAGGATGAATAGACTCCTGAGCGACCGCGGTCGCAGCGGGGCCAATGGAGCCGGAAGCCTTGGAAGAGATTGGAAGATCGAGGATCGCCGAGCTAGCCGGGTGCATCACCGGCAGGTTGATTGGTGAAACACTCGAGCAAAGCAGAGTCTGTGTTGGTGAAATCGGGAAAACCTGGATATCATTTCCAGGGAAATGGCTGGGGTTGTTCCTCCATGATCTAGCTGATCCAACATGATGGCCGATTTTTGTGGTGGTTGCGGGGAAACCTTCACCGACTCTTGCTGAATCTTCACTGAGAGTCATTTTGTCTATTGAAAACTCCTGTCATGTGTAGTTTCATTGTTTCCTTTTTGGGGGAGAGGTCCCTGTGATGCAAGACATGTACTGTATTTATATATATATATATGTATACAGCTTTGATTAGCTTTGTAAGTGTTCTTTGGCGATTCTTCGGTTCAACTGCAGTGGGTTTGTGGTGGGCAAGGACGAAGCATGACATATCAAACTCGCTCTCGTTTCCAACTCGATCGTCCTGGAAGCTCAATCGCACCTGAGGCCCTTGATGATCTTGATGACAGCTCGAGAAGCGTGATGAAAAAGATTGTATTGTACAGAAGATGTGATTGTGAATCATAGGCAGGTCGTTCGAGCATGTTTTATGGCACACCATTGGGGTCTGGAGGCAATGCTTGGCAATGCTTGGCGAACTTAGGAGTGAAGGTGTCCCAAGACAGACCGTCGGCATTCACAACTCCACAAGGATGCACAACGCTTTGATTAGCTTCGGGGTAGCTTTTGTTGGGTGCACCAAGAAACAAATCCCCGCTTGTTTCGTATGAGGGAGGATGCTGTGTGACATGTGGGTCAAGACTGGGAGGCCTCAGTTGACCACAGAAAATGAATAGACTTCCAAGACAGCCACATTCTGAGACACTTGCTGTGTGTCCCACTGGCCACCCGCCCGTTTGGCCGCTGTTTTTGTGTGTGTGCGTGTTTTTTTAATAACGAGGCCGCCATCGCAGCTTCATGCGCCCGACTGAGGCTCGCGGTCTGTAGGACTACGGTGAGCACATGGGTTTTGGTCTAATTACTTTCTTCCAGGGAGTTGAACTGGGAGGTCCCCCTGTTTGAATACACACCCATATGTTGGGTGTTGTGGCCTTATCCGATGTGGATTCCAGCAAATCGATTCGACAAGTACTTGCGTTCTGTCATGTCCTGCTTTTGCTTCCCTGCTGTGATCTCAACGACATGGGTAGCTCGACGTTACCGAGTTCGGGTGTAGGTGTGGGCAGGTATAGGCATTTGATGGCATTTGACTCCAACCTCCAATTGGTGAGGGTGAGCCCACAAAAAGTAGAAACTGATCCAGGATGGTTTGTTCGACGCATGACCCGGGGCACCGTGTGGATGGTGCAAGCGAAGCTGCAAACCTTAATGAATGGGTAGAGTCTTTTTCAGAACTGGATCAAAGATATCAAAGGATGTCAATGAGTCAGCCATCTTATCTTGAGAAGATGCTCTTTAAACATATAAGAAAAATATAGAAAAATTGTTGGAATCGGGTTCGTGCTGCTTTTCGAATCAATCTTTGGTGTGTTTTTTCCAATTTGGGGTACCTTTTCAGTTTCGGCATCGGATCTTTGCCGTTTCAAGGCATCCCTCACCAGAGCTCTTTGACTTGATTGGCCGGACCGTCACTTGTCACAGACCCGTGCCGAAGGTCCAAGGACGATGTGTTTTTTTCGCCCCACCCAACTAAAGGAAATGCATCTTCAGGTAACTACTAGGAGCTTCTAGGGGCTCCTAGCCTTACGACTAGTAGGAACAAGAACGCTACTAAGAGCAAAGGGCTAGTAGCTACGAACGGAGCAAGAAGCCTCCTAACGGGGGTCACCTGAAACAGGTCGTTCTTGACCATTCTGCAAGACACCGCAGTCTTGCACTGCGGTCCCGTGCAAGGTGTCTCCTTTGGCAACTAACCCATGCCTGAGAGTGTACTCATGGGACGGCCCAACGAGCAATATGCAAGATTCATCGAGATTCATAGGTGGAATGGAAAGAGGAGGGTGCATCGATGATAACCCCACGAGCCATGGGAAAAGATAGGTGGCAGGACAGGGGTTGCCACCACCTTGTATTCAGCACTTGTCCATCGTCATCGTCGTCATCATCATCATCATCATCATCATCATCATCAACTGTTGCATGGTGGGGGTGTGAAGGCTCCATGTGCTGATCCCTTTGCTGTCAAGCTAGCGCAGAATCCTGGAGCCTTTTCCATGTCTCACGAAGCTACAATGGGCGTTGCTAAGGTGGCTCATGGCATGTGTTTCAACTCACATACGCTTAACCAGTAGACCTCTACCGCAGCACTTGCTGAAGATCGGCCTGAGGATCTTGGGACAATGAGATGTAAATAGCAAGGATTTTAGCACTCCCTTACCCAAGCGCTCCTGAAGAAACCATGGAAGGGTTTGATAACTTACAGTGGCATGGGTTGCTGGAAATCGGAGGGTTGAAGGGTTACCCATGATTTTCACAAGCTGATGAGTTACGTTTTGCTCATGGTGATTTGATGGGATTTGCATTTGTTGAACCCCTTCCGGAATAAGTTTTTCTCCCTGGCTCCTTATTCAACAAATCAGTGGCCACATTATCCAAGTTTGGATGTCTTGGAGGAGCGCCCTTCCCTTTCCTTCCCCTGTCGGAAGCCCATAGTGTTTGTGCCATCGTGAGGTCCGTGAGGGAATCGCCCTGCGACCGGAGCAACAGTTGTCCAAGAAGCAACTGTGCGGGTCCCGGTCATGGTGGACCGTTTTCAGTGAAATCCCCAAACCTGGTGAATGATGATATCCCAAAGGCTCATTGGTCCCTCAGTTCGCTAGGGTTTTGACCCTCACAGCCAGGGTGAACTGGACCGAAGCAACATGTAGCAGTTGGTTCAGGTCCAGGGCCGCCTCTGGGTGTCAAAGATTGATGCATCAAGACTGTGTTGGATGGATTGAATCCACTTGAGTCAGTGAGTCAGTGCAACTCAGTGAGCAGCCAGCATTGGTTAATCAATGTAAATCACCTTATTTGTTCTCCTCCAAGTTCCTTGGACCGGCCTTACCACCTGATCCAACTTAAGGGGTCACAAATCGACATGCATCAAACGCGGCCTTTGGGATCATTGATCAAGATGATCGTTTGCACCGGCCTCACGTCCGACAGGAGTGCGCAACTTTAACTTAGAAGCAGATCAATCAACATGGTCCCTTCATCCAGACGCTCGTATTCAACATCCCTTGGTACTCACAGGGTGGGCCAAGGTTGGCCATTTCACACACTGTTTCGTCAACTCTTTGGTGGTTTGTCTCTCCGGTTGGGTGGACGAAGCGGGGTTCCACGCGCAGAAAGCAGATCAAGCACTTGAGCTTTGATCGGTCTAACCTCGGAACACCTCCTTGTACCTGGTCACAGGTTGTCCTGTTGAGTTACTTCGTGGCAGCTTCACCCATGGGTCACAGCTTCGGTGGCAAGACCAACGAACACGCATGAGTCTACGCTAAAGAAGAGCAGATCGAATCACCATCCAGAGACAGGAAGAGAGAGGAAGACATGGCAGTTTTTGTGCCTTTCACAGTTATTCTTAGCTAAGGTCTGAGCTCCTATGCTCCTATGCCGTTCGGGAAGCCCAGAAGATCCCAGAAGTCCTCAGATGGGACTGAGCTCCTCGCTGAGCGGAGCTCATCCTATGTGGCCACAGAGCTCATTCCTTTCGCCATTCGTCCGGTGTGGGTCAATGGAAGATCTTCTCGGGGTGAATGGCAGAAATTGAACGGGTTCTGCCAACACCACCCAGTTCGGATGGTGATGGTGATTAGATAGTAAATACAGATATCAGGAGGACCGGGAGGATGTCCACTCTTCTTGGTGATAGTAGCCACACCTGCTCCCAAGATGGGGCACATCCACGGGCCCGCCCGAGTGACCAGTTATAGCATGCTATAGTTCATTTGTGAAAGCTTATGCAAGCAGATATTCGAGATGAAACAGCAACCCGACACCTGTTTCTTTGTTTTAATGAGACAGTGGATGGAGAGTGGTCAGCATCATTGTGATTGTGAGGGTTCAGGACCCCACACATCACTTGAAAGACTTTTGGTGCAATTCCCGTAGATTAGATGAATCCATCAGAATTATCTGGAAGATTCACCTGGAACCTGAAAACCTTATAGAATACTCAGTATTTAGTATATGTGGCTGTACAACCACTGGCATGGCCAGATGCTTTAGATGTGGTGTTGCTTCCCTGCGAACTTTACTGTTCTAAGTGTTGGTTTTGCCTGACGCTCCAAGTGTGATGGTTTTTAAGGTTTAAAAAGATGCTGTTCTAAGTATACGGCAGGAGATTTGCAGAAGGAGTGCCAGAAGAACTCACCAACAGGTTTTCTCCTAGCTAACACTTTGGTTGGACATAGCTCTCAATCCTGACCTTGATGCATCTTGATGCCCACGGCAAAGTGAACTGATTATTGTTAGTTCATTCCTTTTCAATTGCTGTAGTGGGCGTCGGTCAAATCATAGTGCCCTTCAATCATTTTTTCTGGTTTGTTGTGAGACCATGCTCTTAACTGCTGAGGTACTGAGTCTTTTCGACCTGGACTATTTCTCATGGGCCCGGAACCCATACAGACAGGACATTCGGAAGATAGATCCATGTATTTCGCCTAGAACCTGAGTCACGCATTGTGGACTACAAACCATCTAAGATGCTATAGTATAGGCTATAGGGGATTGAGAGTAGATGGCACAGTTCCCAAAAAAGTTGTCCATTTTGGACTCCCCACCTAAAGATCCTAAAGACATCTTGGGGCGCCACTGCCATCTCGTCCGAAAACGCTGCAACTAGATTGCCTATCAAAGCCGTCCAGTCTAGGAAAGCCTGGGTAGGTCATCCATCGGAAGTACTTTATTGTGACACCCCGACAGGTCTATGAGGGTCGATACATGTTGGATGGCTTAACATGTTTCACAAGCTTGAACATGAATCAACGCACCCGTATAGAAGGCCTTTGAATAAACGCACAGCTTCAATACCTTGCCAACCGCTAGGGAAGAATGCATCAGAAGGAAATGAACCAGACTGAGCAGACCCCTGTTACAACCCTCGACTTAGTCGTTTTGGGGTGGGGGTTGCACCACACCAATCGAGAACTTCAAAGGGATGACAAGGGCCTTGTGTCAACGTCCAGCCTTTGTGTCACGAACGAACCCGGGGTTTTCCACGTCCGTCTTAGTGAGTCGGGTTGGTTTTTTCCCGAGCAAAACGTGCAACCGATGCACAAGCTAGCACAGCCTGGTGGGGTACTGCCAAGGCCCCAAGCGCCAACATTCACCACTGCTGACGGCTCAAGTGCATGTGCTCACCAGTGGCACATCCAGCAGTCAAGTGACTGAAATTAAGACCTGGAGGTCTGCCATATCCATGATGTCCATGTATCTTTGGGCCGCAGCATGGCTGCTGCATCCAACCTTGGCCATACGAGCAGTGGATGATGTGGATGATGAGGCGACTTCAAGAGTGCCCTTCTACCCAATTACCTTGGTACGGTGAAGCTTTGGATCTGAGTCTTTGAGGTCTAGTTTTGGGCACTGGACGCACACCTTGCACGAAACAGCTAGAAAATATAGTATTTGATTATTGGTTTGTTGCGCTGTTAACTCCAGACGCAAGCTCAGCTCAGAATGCGGCCCCTTGGTGTGGAACAGGAGCCACTATTTTTCTCACGAACCACGAGGGTGCTGATGGTGCTGGGTCAGGTTTGAGTCGCAGGTGACCGCAGGTGACCTACTATAGTGGCCACTGGATCTGGGAGTCTTTGTTTGGCATCTCAAGCCATAAGCCAGACATAGCCAGACCCAATTCTTGAGGCAGTGAATTCTTGGAGCCTTCAAGCATGCGCAGCTTATTTCAGCGTGCGCCGTATCTCCCGGGCCTCCACACCAATAAACTATTAAAATGCTTGGCTGGTCAGAGGACTCTATTTACTCAAATGCCAGGGATTTTCTTATTTTTGTCGTCTTGATTTACGTCGCATTGCATTTAGCACATTCTCCTGCACCATTTCATGGGATCTGGAGATCGTACCTGGGCCGTGTTGTTTTTGATCCTTCCCAACCAGTTGTAGTGGTACTGTAGTGCTAAATGCCTCGCACAAAGCAGAACAGAATAGAACAGATGTTACCATAGGTAGCTTTTGGACCTCGCCATTGCCCTTGACAGCTTGTTGAACAAGCGCACGTTGCAGGTGTCGGTGTCAGTGGACCTGGAGAGACATGTGGCCTGGAATCGGCCAGGGATGGTCAAGGACACATGTCGCACGTGCCAGGGAGCCAACGGGATACACATCGAAACTCTTGGGTCACATTTCCCCATGGGGCTTTGCCAAAGCTGGTCTTTGAGATCAGAACCAGAAAGTGAAGGTCGAATTGGGGCTGTGCACGTTGGCGTCACGTGGGCCGTGGGCGGTCAACCCTAAATACTGTATATGAGGTTCGTGAAGGACCGAGCCTTTTCCACTCCACCGACGGACCGGACCGCTGTTTTATTGACCCACCTGGGGTTTGAAGAACACAGCTCACGGACGGCCAAACTGCTGGAGCATCGCACTGGACAGACGCCGTCCGTTTCCGGAGACGCCGTCCAAAGCGGCAGAAGGGCGGACAGACCAGCAAACCCCCCCGTTAAGGCAGCGGCCGTGAGGGGGTCGGTCCCCGAGATCCTGAAACCACTCACGTGAGGACCGATGGACCGATAGCAAGTCGGTACATGGCCGACAAGTGATGCTTTGGGGCTTTGTCACCCGGTGGCAACAACAACAACGACAACAACAACAGCGGGTTCCAGAAAAAAAGAAAAGTGTTTGGAGACCAGAGTGGCCCTTTCCCGGCTTTCCCGGCTGCCCCCATGAGAAACATATTCCATTTGTTTCTTCCTTGGCGAGGCTTGCAGATGCTTTCGAGACAATAGGTCAACCCTCGAGAAAACAGGATGAAGATGGACAATTTGATCATGCGCAACGAAACACTCCCCTATTGTGAAGTATTCCGGACCAATCCAATTCCACCAGAGATCAACTTACCATGAGTAGGGAATCCATAACAGCGGCACTGAAAACACCGGCATGAAAAGTGCATCCTTATCATGCCGAAGAAAACCGTGGGAGACTCCGTAATTATATAAGTTTCTGTGGGGGTTACTTGGGAAGGAGGCAGATTGGAACCTTATGATCCACCGCGCCGTGTTTAATGCACCACTGCACAGGAACATGATTCTTACTGTAGTAGTAATATCATATGTTGTCACTTCCCGAAATCATCATGGAAGTGGAAATTGTCTTTCCAGGGGCCATTTGCCACTTCCATGAATGTTTCAGGAATTGTGTTCAATATGGAGCTGGTCAAGAGGCACCCAACCCGGGACTCGCCTGAAACTTGGCCTTGCGTTCACCGGTGGGATGGCACCTCAGCCATGGCCACGCCACCAACAGTCGCCGGGCTTCGGTGTTTCTTCGTGGTCTTCGGTCGTCGAAGCCGTCAGGAGCCAACCATGGACCAGCTGCCAGGTCCGTGGAAGGACTGCTTGTTCGATCAGTAGTGATAGGGCGGGCCCCGTGACCCCATGTGACGGGGGACGTACCCCTTTCCTCTCGGTATGACGTCCAAGTGTGTGCAAGAAGAATGAACAAGTGAAAGAGAGAACATTCAACAAGCGAGCTATCATTTGACTCATTGCGCATGGCGTTTGGACTGCTTTGAATGCAAGCTCACGTTTGACAGGACCGCTTGAGCAAGGTGCGTGTGCTGGGCTCTGGCAGTTTTGGTACTGTCTACCAGTTGCGTGCCACCTGCGATGCTACGAACGAAGAGTTTGTTTCTTTGAAATTGATGGTTGCTTGGCTTTAAGATATCAGACTGAAAGCAGACGTACAACTTGAAAGCAGACCAACATAATTAAGAGGACGTGTGTTTGGGGATCCTTGCTGGTTGATCAGGCTGCCTCTATATACATAGTCTAGCACCTTTTACTTTTGCCTCATCAGATGACTTGTTCAGATTTTGCAGGCAAAGGATCGCGATGCTTATAAAGAGGTTAAGAACATGCGTAGAACCTTTGCTGCAGTTCAAGCTTTGCTTCTGTGTTTTGTTTTTGACTCATATCATCTTAGTTACTTGGAGTTTGTGCTTCCTGCATTCCCAGGAATGCAGGGTGCACACTATGTCATCTCCACTGTGGGGAAGCCAGATTATGTCGAGACACCTGACACCATGGACATCTTGATGCCTTATTTGAATGGAGGCAAGTCTCCAGATGCGGCGGGATCACGTATACCAAGGAGAGCCCCCATTCCACCAATCGAATGAGTCTCCAAGTCTTCAGAATTACATATCTGGTGGTGAGGGCGGGAAGAGTCCAAGGCCTGATGGGGCTCTCCATCTTCTGAATGGCTCCGACCCCTAGGGAAGCCCCTAAAGGACGCAGTTCAAACCAGGAGGATTCCGGTTCTCGAAACGTGGAACTCAGAGAACCGGCCGCCCGGAACAACCGGAATTGGGGACAATTGGGGGGACATCCCACGAACAACCAAGAGGTTGAACGTTCTGTTAACCCTTTTATCAGCGTTCTTTCATCAGGTCACTTCCGAGGATCGGCTCTTTGGCGGAATCCGGTGCTGGACCAGTTGGACGGGTCTTCCTGAGGACGGATAACTCCGACAAACGTCCTTCCAACAAAAGACATATGCGGAGACTGCTTTGGTTATTTCAGGTCAGGCTTCTGTTTCCATCTCCACGATTGTTGGAGAGAGAGAGAGAGAGAGAGTGTGCCGAGTCCACCTTGCCATGCGCCACCTAGTTTGATCAGGTGATCCATCCACACTTGCAGGGTGACACACTGGCACACTACCCTTTGACAAGCACGTCACATGAAAGTGGATGGCATCCTTGGGGTTGAACTTCCATGTTAGTGCGTTGGAGTGTAGCTGGCAATACGGCGGCGGAAACAGGTTCCCCAATAAAACCCCCGTACAGTATCTTTCGAGAGCTAGGTGCTGGCAAGGCGCAACATCCCTCCAAGCTCTAACAGTACAAGCTTTAATTACCCCCTGGGGCTCCAGTCGTGCCTCCTCAGATGGTCATTATTTGGACACTCCAAACCTACCCCAAGCATCTTCTTAGACAGTACTTGGAGCCCTAGGGAACAACAAAATTATGCTGCCTTGGAGCGCTCTATGACTTCCGTAATCTGCGTTAAACACTCCAAATCATCCTCCAACTCAACTTTTTGTAGCTCCCCTTTAGAAAGACAGGCCGTCCGAAAGGCAAGCTTCGTATTAATAGTGCATCTATGTCTATGTACATTTTATGTGCCCAAGTGCTACATGCTCAACTAAGCCCTTTCACTTGCGGCCTGCTGGCGGATCTTTATTGGCATTTCCAAGCACTAGTAGTTTAAAAGTTTAAGGTTTTCACATGGCTGTACCAGCTGCAGACTTCACCGCCTGCTTTTCGTGCCTGCAAACGGTTTCACCTTGAGTCTCTATCACCGGCCTGGACAGGCGATATGCACGACCTATGGAAGAAGTGTATGAAGACGAAAGGATGTGTGTCGTGTGAGAAAGGCATGTGCTGGGATCAGTTGGGTCCTCCCTATAGCAACGCATACATCTTGGCACTCTTCTATCAGGCGACGCCATGCGATGTACGCCATGCGATGTCAACTCGTTGGTGTCCGACACACGGCGGCCCGCTCAATTCGGCGAATATCATCATACCAACGGGTGACAGTTCACCCCGGTTCATCACACATGGGCTTCATATGGTTTCTTCAGAACAGGTCGGGGTGTGAGCCTTGAGCTCCCGCTACTAACGGCCCATTTGTTTCGGTTGGACCCTTGGAAGACTTGGGAGGAACCAGCTTCCACAAAGAGGGGCAGTTGCAGTTGGGTTTTGTGATGTTTAGTGAATGGCTTGACTTTCTTTCAACCACTTTCGATGCATTGTGAGGTGCATGGGCATAGGCCATGTTAAAGTTGGTCGTTGCTTATTCCATCTTATTCCCACGCATTTCACTGGTGATCTTCGCCCCCAGCTCAAACCCTTGCCACGACTGGCGGATCCAGGCCACTTTGGGCGTCCAGGAGATTCACAGCAAGGGCTTCGTTCACATGGACATCAAATCAGAGAACATCATGCTGAACTGCATTGACCAGAAGCTCCTTAGTTCAGTTCGTCCGTGAAGCGGCCAGGGACTTCTCACTGTTCGTTACCAGCTGTCAATATATGTTTCCCATCCTTTCCCCACAAGGTTGGGAGTGCTGTTTTGTTCTTCAAGATGCCACTACTGTGAGTCAGCAAATGCTGTTATTCCACTGCGGCGGTGGCTGAGCAAGACACGTATTTCTAGAGCTGTTGCCATTGTTTTGACCGAGTCACCCAGTCGCGGGCGCCAGCCTCTCACGAGCCCCCAGAACAATAAGAGTACGTAGAAGGGAGAACGTACGCGCCGGCTTTAGCCTTAACCAAGTTCAATGCATGTCCTTTTCATACCACATACATGACACATCATGAAACTGACCGCTGGTGTAGGTTTGGCCATTCCGCAGAGTTCCAGTTGATAGTGAAGATCCACTGGGGCCCTGGGCAGATGAGTTTGTGTTGGCTCATGTGGTCGGACCTAAGGAATTACGGGAATTACACGTCTTAGATGAATCCAAGCTTTTGGCCATTCATAGGAGCAAGGACGCTACGAACGGGGCTCCTGGCCGTACTGCTAGGAGCAAGGGCGCTACTAGAGACTCCTGGCCGCACCACTAGGAGCCATGTTCGCAACAGGTTGGGTGTTTTTCATCACCCAAATCCGTGGAACCCACATCCTCCCGACCGGCGGCTTCGGTTCGCCGAGTGGTTCCACAGTGGCGCACTGGTTCCGGTTCAATTTTGGATCAGGTGAGTTGGGAGGTTCCTGAATTCCCTTAGGGCTATAGGCTCGTACCGAAACGAAGGTATGACTGGACCCGAAAGGTACGACTGGAGCCCTAAAGACTTAGCTTCATCCCCTGCTCTTGTGATGGGTTCCGCTGTTCCAAACCTTGAAGAGCGCTGAAGAGCCAAGAGATGATCGAGCGATCTCGTGGGATCTCGTGGGTCGAAAAACGCGGATCTCAGGTGTTTTGCGCATGTGATTGACTTGGGCTTGATGGGGCCCCGTGGTGCGTGTAATCTGGGCGGGACTCCAGGCTACATGGCTCCTGATGCCTGGCTGGAAGCGGTGCGAACGAAACGGTGGACCCAATGGGACTTCTTAGGGGTCAAACCATGCCATGAACTCGTTGACAGAGGTGCTGTTGACAGAGTCATTGAGTCATCGAGGTCCAAGTAACCAGGAATAGGGACCATTGGCGCATTTTTTCACAAGTTTGTGTCTTCCGAAGCTGCCTAGTAAGAAGCTAAACTGTGAAAGCATTGGAAAGATCTTCAGCTGCACCGGCATCGAGCTGGGGAAATCTTGCATGACCCTACTCTGACGGGTTCACAGTGTAAACATGGGTTTCTCTGAGCAATTGGTCTCCTTCAGTGGAGGTCTTTGAACGAGGTGGAGGTTTACAGTGAGTTTGGAGGTGCCTCATTGTGGAGGTTAGATGAATGAGTAACCTCTTACAATAGCTGTTACATACTCGACCACTACCTGTGAGTTTGGAGGTGCCTCGTTGTGGTCCTTGTTTTGGAGGTTTCGGATGAATGACCTCTTGAAATGTGTGCCCCATGCTTTGAAATAGCTGTTTACATGTCCTTCAAGATCTTCAAGGTGCTTGCTTCGGCTCTGGGAGGGGTCCCTTTTTCCCACCCAGCCACGGATGACTGTGGTTGCTGGGTGCTGAATATATCCGAATATTGGGATTTGCTTCGTTGCATTGTTACTGTGATTGTTATATTTTATCTATGTGGGGGTCTCTAGTCTACTCTAAATGAAGACCACGAAGCAGGATGAGGTTGATGCTCAATGGAAACACAGGAGAGTAGATATATATATATATATATGTGATTTGTTTGTGGGTATGTCATCAAGCTGCCAGTGTCTTGAAGCGATCCATGCCACCTGGGTGACGATAGAAAGAAACCTTTGGTGCCCCCGTGCACGGAATGGTGCCTGGAGCCTTGAGTGACCGGACCACACGGCTTCAAGGAAATCTGGAAGGTTATTGTCAGCAAATCAGGGAAGCTTTGGAAAGAGATTGGGCAAGGCCAGCCTCAGAACGATGTCTATTCACTGGGCGTGGTCCTCTATGAGCTTCCAGGATGCAAAGATTGCAGATGTAAAGGTTTTAGGAGAACAGGTATCCAAGGGGGTGGGTGTCTTCTTGGGTGAGCACATCGCGTGTCCTCTGACAAATCTTACCATGAATCTACATCCTCAGGGCTTTGGGCACAGGGCTTGCAGCAACTCAGGGAATCATGATGAATCATCATGATGAACTGGGTGGTGGGTTCAAACATGTTTTCGACCTTTGCCTGGAATCATTGAACCCACTGACCACCGACTCCTTTTTGTCCACCACAATCGCCAACTCATGATGCCTTCAACGAAGACTGGCACAGGGCCAGCCCCGCTGGGCGGTGAATCCGTCGACCCGCGATAAGCGGCGGCGGGCAGTCTTTCCCAAGAACTCCATGAAACGATGGCCCCAATGGCTGCAAGCAAAGCGAATCGGCAGGCGGATAGGCTGATATAGGGGGTGATAGGTGAAAAACATGGTGAACACATGTCGCGAATCATGTCACAAAATTCAAAAGTCTCATGTGGCCTGTGTTTTATGACCTTTCGACATCAAATTCACCTGTCTGAGGTTGGCACACCCTGGGAAGCAGCCTCCTTTCTATAGCGATCGGGCTGCTCATCGCATCTCTACGTATGACCCCTCAACGGATCCGGTGCTGTCTGGCCCCGAGCAAAGTGAGCTGGACCGTCTGATCATCAGCACCTTGGGGTCGAAGTCCTCCGGACAGCGACGGGTCTAGAGGACCCGAGACCGGTCGCTGTTCGGATGGATCACAGGGAATCGGTGTACCAAGGGGGTTAAGCATCTTCCCCGTGAGATGCTTGGACTTGTTGTAGAGTTAGGTGAGAACAGCTGCAGAAAAAAGCAACACCATCATATTGTGGCCACCATTGTGTGAGAACAGTTGTGCATGTAAGGACGACTGATATCACCTTGGTGTTAGACAAATGGTCGATGTCCCATGACTCATTTGCTTGTTGTTCCACGAAACTCGTGTGGATGCTTTGCGTCGAGGATGGAGGAGGAGATCGAGCTGTTCAGAGATCGATTGTTGTGTCTTTTCTCCCATGTTTCTTCCATGCCAGTGAGGAACAAAAACAACAAAACACATGTCTTCTGGCCCCCTTCTTCTGGGTGGGCTTGGGCATTTTTGCGCACCGAGAGTTACATTTATAACTCACCGAGGCATGTTGAATCCCGATCACGAGACGCGCATCGGGACCGCCGAGATCCTGCAGCGTTTGATGGGATATTTGCTGACGATGCCCGACTTCACGCCGGAGCAGCGCGCGATGCAGCGCGAGACGTCTCGCGTCGCCCTCTCGCGGAGATGTTCTGCATACCGATAGCGTGAACTCGTTCAAGCTAATGTAGACTCTTGATTAATAAACCCCTCCATTTGAATTGAAACACCTCTTAGAATATATATATACCCTGACCTTCCAACGCCTGAGTTTACTATAGACATTGAAGATTAGGGTATATATATATTATATATTATAAGAGTCTACATTACGGGTTTGTGTTTTTTAGTGAGGAATGTGTATGACACCTGTCCATCCAGGGACCGAAGGAGTCAATGTATACAGTATACACTGGTTGGAAGTGGAACATGGTCCTGTTGGTAGAGGAAAAGGTTCGCCCAGAAATGGCCATGCTCCACTTCCATGATCATTTCAACTGCTAGTATACATCAATACAACATCAATACAATCATCTCATCTCCAGTCACTCGTGCAGCATCGATAAACATCCGCTAGGAGATCATTGAGATGATCAGCCTCACACCACAGGCCGCCCATGGAGAGGTGCCCTTGCCCAAATGCCTTTGGTCTTGGCACCGGCCGTTGCCCGACATCGGCGACCAAAACTTCACCCGCAACGCCTGCGGCGACGACTCCACCGAAGCGACGGAAGCGACGAGTGACGGCGGGTCGACGGCGGAGAAGGCGCCGATCAAGCGGGTGAGGACGAGTCTGGGATCCAGGTGGACTGCTAGACTCCTTGTGAGCCCTCATGTTGGGTGGAATTTGATAGAATTCATGAAGCAAAGAACATCAAGGAACCCAAACCTGCTCCTAGCTTTGAGCATGTTTGAGCTTTCTTTGGGATCCAGGATCCAAGAGGCACTTCCTTTGAGCACAGCACCCATTGGATTCAAATGTCCCAAAAGATGTTGTAATAGGTCCGTTTCATCAAGTCAAGCTTTGGAAGTAATCCAATGCATTGAAGTCTATATAGACAGCTAAAGAGCCTTTGTTCCCACATATATATATATATACACATCAACTGACATTTGAGCTTCAGGAAAGAACTTTGATGAACTTTGCGTTCAGCATTTACATGAACACGTCGCGACAGGGACTGAGAATTTGCTTCGTGAGAGCATGGACAACGAAGCCGGACACTCCTTTTCGATTGTCTTGCCTTCAAGGTTTGGGGGGCTTAAGATGGGGTGGCTTGGAACCAAGCCGGCCTAAACGAAGCCCCAAACAAAGCCAAAATTTGGCCTTAGCAGACACTGGCCAAGCGCCCTGACAAGATATTGGAATTGATTGTGCCAGAATGTGCCAGACACTTTTAATTGAATGATGTGGTGCTGTGATAAACATGGAACATTCCAGCTCAGCTTGTGAACGAACTGGCATAGTACCCTGGCGGGTGCCAATCCCAGAAAAAGGACAGCCGGTTTCACCCAAAAACGAAGCCTAATTCAATAAGATCAGAAGTAACACCAGGAGTTCATGGAGGTTTGGTGTGCTATCCATGGAGGTAGTCAGGGTGCCCTTGTCACATCCACTCACTGGATGGGACGAGCCACCACTCCGACCCCTGGCATTTTGCTCCTCGGTGTTGAGCGCTGCTTCGACCGCCTGACCGTGGTCCGCCAGGTTTGTCAATGCCATGTGCTGCGTAAGGGCACGGTGGTCCAAGAGGAGTTCCAAGCACCTGAATGCCTGTGAGTGAGGCAGCATCAGAACGCAGCATCAGTAGCAGCATCCAGCCCCCAGGGGTCGCGGGCAAGCCATTGGGTTGCCCAAAAGAGGCGAAGAGCTCACCGAAGAATGCCTTGGAACCATATGATCCGTGGCTCCAATGCTTGGTTTGTCGCATACAAATTCAGTTTGAACCAGCCAAGCGTTTGACTCCAGATGTTGTTTTACGCATTTGCCGGTGGGATTCGGGAAGGTTTTCAGCACACTCCTTCAGACCGAGACCAACTGAAGAGGCATCTCGAAAAATGCCTGAAGTCCCGAACCAGGCTTTGGCTTGCGGATCGGGTCTCATGGACCTGTAGCTCTTTGAGAACACAAGGAACTTAGACCGCTACCTTGCAGGACATTCATTTATATTGAGAACACAAGGGACCAACGGGTTACTATATAAATGCAGGCAGAAATAAGAAGCATTGAGTTCAAAGCGGACAGAGATTTGACGCCTTGGGCACTTCCAGATGGTCCGGACGTGTTTGCTTTTTGGTCGGGTCATGCGACCGGGCAGCTGATGCACCTGACCCTGGTTGAACGGGACAAACTGATTTCCCACATCAAGCGACCGTTTCTACTGTGAAAGGAGGAGCTCCTGCAAGGTTGGTATGGGCTGGGCTAGATTTGCTCTGCGGATTGCTCAAGTGTTATTCAAGTTATTCATAACTATAGAACTGTTTCCACTTATATAATATATTAATATATACAGTGACCGTGTTTTGTTTCTTTTGTTTTCTCTGAGAAAAGAGTCTTGGGCCTAAGAACATCTAGAACATTATGGTTCTTTGCTTTCGGCTCAAAAACCATATGAATGCACCGCGTGCACAGTTGCCAACTGGTCCTTACCCGTGTCAAATCTCAGTCTGACCGATCCAATGCATGTCCATCCGCTGGCCGTTGTGCCGCTGCTGCTGAACCTGCTGGCCGTCTCGTCGGCGATCCGAGCAATAGAGGATGATCTCGATGAGGAGGCGTGTGTTTTTGTCCAGAGGACGCTTCCAGGAAGGTCAACGGCAAAATTTCATTGACATACGTAGGGTTTGTCCCAATACCTGTAACAGTCACTAAAGAATTAGCAACATTTTTGAGCAAGGCTTTTACGAACCATCATCATCCACTGTTACAGGATAGATCGGATAGACCCAATACATACGCAAGTTGGGAGAATAAGGAGGCTTGTATTGACTCACGCTTGAAGCGAATTCCATCCCAGTCCACACACCACAGCAGACGACTGGGACGGCGAGCATGGCGACCATGTTGCGTGGTCTTTGAGGTCGCGTTGAACAGAGGAAAAACATGGGACAGCCACGAAATGGGTGGGTTGGTGCATCTAAATTGCAAAACCATGTTTTGTTTTTTGACGAGGGATATATGAGGGGTAGGCCTTCTCCCATGAATTTCTAGCATGACAGCCAACTCTTAGATCATCTTAGATCCATATAAATAGTTATTATCATTGTGCCGTGCATTCCCATACACTCCATGTATGGAATATATGCCTACATTGACCCCCCTGGCACCACCCCTGGCCGTACGACACAGGCACCGTTTGACCTGGAGCGGCACCTGGCTTTCAACGCTACAAGTATGGCAGAGGAGACGGGAGAGTTGCTTGTTCCGGAGAGTTGGGGTTTTCCGGGAGCGGAGAACCAAGCCTTTCCGCGCTGAGTGCAGTTCCGAAGTTAACTGTGCCCTCCAAACAACTGCGGGGGTACACCCTGTTAGCATAGATCTCCTTTTACTATTGGTTGGTTCATTGATAGAGGGAATGCCCCCCCAGTCGTGTACAACCAACAGGATCCAACAGGATCCTTACGGTACTCAATCGACCCCTCAGTCGTGTTCCCTTCACTCGGGCGGACATCGATGCAATCATGTTGCGATGTGTCGCATTCCTTCGGGCTTGGTCGACGATGGAGGCCCAGGCGCCCAGGCTTTGGAAGGATCACGTCGTGTGGCCGGTGAGAGGTCGTTGGCTCGAGCGCCATGTTAAAAGAAAGACCATCATGACCCATCATCCATATATATATATATATATATATGACCTATTTACCTACAGGGGTCAATGTACGCATATAAATGCATATTGATATTATCCATACATGGGTGGTCTGGGAAGGAAAGACCAGTGATGTTCAAAAAATCGAAGAGTGTGGTTTGCGTTCTTTTGCTGTAACATGCTTAAACTATATATCATGCGCAAAGATTCCGCACCACCAAATCATCCCCCGTGTCGAGGTCAAATTGGTTCGGGCTTAGACCACCCTCCCCATCCCTCTCCGCCCTCCGAAAAAACGCAGGAGACAAGGGACGAGGAGCTGCCTCAGCCGTGGAAGGAGATGGTTTTTGACACGGGGACTAGGACTGCAACAGTTATATATACGTTGACTTCATGAACATTTCCCTAATCCCTACATGTCAATGACCTCATGAAATACTGGAGTTGGTCATACAAAAACACGACGAAAAGGGAGGTCAGTCTGACCAGGTTTGGACCTGGGTCAGACTGGACGAACCTATGATTGATGTATGTAACTCTTGCAGTCGCATGGATGGTCTGGGTTTGGATCCGTTGAAGTGTTCCGGAGCGACACGTTTGCGTCACCTTATCATCCAGTTGGACGGCTAGATGGGTCAGATGTAGTCGCGGTCCATACGGTCAGTAGCAGAGCATGAATATCAATTGGTCTCATTTTAGAGCTTTGAGTGGTGGTTTCAGATGTACAGTATGTTTACTTTCAATCTTTACTTGTAATGATTGATCCCATGCTGACCCATCATTTTGATTCATGTTGCATGATTTTTTGTTCCAAGTGAGTGGAAACGAAGAAGACGTTCATTGCAGACTAGGAATCGGAGAAAGCTGGTCGCGGGTGGGGTCTTTCGGTCACCTCCGGGGGCTGGTCGCCTTTCGTCACCAGCCGAGCCATCGAGGCCGTGGATTGAGGAAGGAGGGAAGCTGCTGCTAAGCCCCCAATGGAGATATCAGTGGTTTCAGAATCTTTCAAGGTAGATGGCACAAGGGCCCCCCAGAGCCTCATCCAAAGTCTTCTACTGGGATGCCAGTGGGATCTACTCCTTGAAACCACGCGTTTATGTAAATATATGTGCATGAGATATTAGCACATATATATATATACTTATATATATATATGTGTGCTAATGCACATACAGCATCTCGATTTCGGTGACCGCGCGCAGCACCTTGACCGTCAACCGGTGCCTTTTTCGTTTCCGTTCGATCCGCCTCACCCCGTGATGCCGATGATGCACGCACGCCTCACTGCACGGTCCGTCAGGAGCGTTTGAGCAAGGTGCGCAAGCTGGGCTCAGGAAGTTTCGGCACTGTTTATCAGTTGCGCGTGACCTGTGACGAGAGCGAAGACCAGTTTGCCTCTCTCAAAGCGATGGACCCTGAGCCGAAAAAGCAACGGTGGCATGCTGGGAATGTCAGGTTTTTCCGCTCACCACCGCTCGGATGGTGGTCATCGTCCGGAAGTCCCGTTTGGTTGTCTGGAAGGATCGGGAAACTATAGCATGTCCATTGCTTGTCGTAGGTTGTGAAATGTGGCATAGAAACACTTCTACTCTAAATGTTTACAGATATTACCCCCTGGAAGAGACCCACATGGAACCTGATGGCATGGACCAGGCTGGCAGACTAGCTTCCTCCACCTTCACCAGTGGTTTTCAGATTCCATAATTATAAAGATCATGGGTATTTTATTGGATACGTCGCATCCTGTCGTTGTCAGATCTTGTTTCTCCATCGCTTGGGGACGCATCGAGTCGTTTGAACCTGGATGGAGATGTGACACACGACCAACACGACAGCTCAGGCGAAGAAAACGGCTGCCTACAAAGAGGTCAAGAACATGCGCCGAAGCTGTGCTGCAGATGCTGGGGTGCTGAGTTCCATTTGGGGGGGGTGGTAGTTCCCATCAGAGAGTGGAGACCATGTTCGGCATGCATCCGATCTGTTTTGCTTTATATAGAGCTTCAAGTTTTCCAAGGAATGAAAGGCGCAAACTACGTCATCTCTACGGTTGGAAAGCCGGATTATGTGGAGACAGAGGACACCATGTATATTTTAATGCCCTTTCTGAATGGAGGCACGCCCGCCGAACGACGGTCCGCGTGGCGGACCGTGTTGTTTCTCGATGTTTCTCGTTATGGTGGGATTTCTTTGGGCCATGCAGTGATACTGCAAAGGCAGTTGCAAAGGCCTGTGCCACTGGCCTACACGTGTAGCAATGAGCCAAGTAAAGATGAATCTGGGCGTACATGTTTCATGCACCACACAAGAACAGGATTTACAGTGCTTTATGCCTGTGGATGCGGATAGGGTTCCTGGCTTGTGCTCTTTCGGGCCCTCAAATTGGCATCGGAAGCCCGCTGAGAGGCGATTTGTTCGACTTGATGGAGAAGTGTGTGCTGACCAAGGGGTGCCGTTGTGGGAAAGGCATGTGCTGGGACAAGCTGGGCCCTCCCTATAGCAATACATACGTTTTGGCGCTCTTCTACCAGGCGATGTCATGTTGGGCCGACTTGAACAAGCTATAACAAGCTGATTTTCTGGCGCAACAGGTGTTCAAAGATGTTCAGATGTGTGTGTGTGTGTGTCTCACACTCGAGTTGGGTCAGCCCTTTGTCACTTTGTCAGGCGACTTTGGGTGTGCAAGAGATTCACAGCAAGGGCCTTGTTCACATGGACATCAAAACGGAGAACATCATGATGAATTGCGTGAACAACAAGCCTCTTGGCTGAAATCTAACCCTGCACATTGGCTAACCGCCGGACTTACTTCAAGAGCCCACAGATGCCGAACACCCATCCAAAGGATCAGTCAATAATCACACCCTGAACATGAACACTAGATAACACTAGACTTTCTGGACTCTAGACTAAAGACTGACTCTAAACATCAGATTATTTTGTACTATGTTCTGTTTTATAGTATCTAGTTCATTTTTTGAAGACAATATTAAAAACCTCATGACAACACTTCAGACGAACCTTCTGAGTCAGTGCCCTTCATCGAACCTTCTGAGTCGCGCCAGAGCAAGCGCTGCGCAGGTGCTCCGCGCAGGTTATCGATTTGGGCGTCGCGGGACCCACCGGGCAATGTTGGCCGTCCGGAACGCCGGGATACATGGCGCCCGTGGCTTGGTTGGGTTGGTGGGTTTCTATTTGTTTATTTGATCTGTTTCTTTAATCTTGTGTCTTGTGGTGGATTTCATTTATGGATTTGGTGGTTGTTTTGTTGTTTTTTTAAAATTGGATCTGGTGGTGGTTTTCTTTTATGGATTTGGTTTTGGTTTTTTGAATTGGTTTTGGTGGTGGTTTTCTTTTATGGATGTGTTGGTTGTTTTCTACTGATTTAGCAGGGGACTTGATCAATTTCATGTCAATGCAATTATATCAACTGGTTCATGTTTGCAAAAAAACTCGAGCCCTGAAACTGGCTGGTTCACAGGAGGAACCGGGTACAAGAAAAGCATGTGAAAATGCCATTTGAAGACCTCAGAAATGCTTCCCGACAAGAAGAGTGAATGATGAGATCTGCTCCAGGCCCCGAAGCCTGTTGGAGATCAGCCTGGGCTCGCTCAGCCGATCGCTCTAGCTCCGATCCAGTTCTCTCTCGGCCTGATCTGTCGGTCTGTCGCCCTTGGGCCCGAGGAAGTATGGAAACTTTTTGGAAGTGGCCAGCCTCAGAATGACATCTTCTCGCTGGGTGTGGTCCTCTATCAGCGCCTGGGTGCAGCTAAGCACCCTTTTGGAGTGTCCCACCTTGCTTGACCAACGGCAAGTGGCCAAGACTGCAGGCAATCAATGGCCTAGCTTGTAGTCTTTTGGTGATTTCCCATGCTATTTACACCTGCGGATTGTTCCGCCGGCCCTTTTGGCCGCAGCGAGAAAGCCAACTTAGTGGGTGTGAGTGCGGTGCAGCGGTGGGATGTTGGCCGTGAAGGGGTGACTGCAAGAGTAGAAGTCAAACTGGATGTGGTCACATGCAGCCAATCCGGAGAAGCAGTGAAATTTATGCAGATAAGGGTGCAAGGCTGACACAGCTAGGTAAAAGGTCTGCTCTGTGCTGTACACATGGCATGCTACCTACTACTTACTACTCACTACTCCCTGCTCCCTACTTTCTACTTCCAACTTCCAACTTTCTACTCACTACTTATTTACACTGCACGGCAAAGCTAGGGGGCTTCTTTCAATCTTCGATTCTTTCAAGTGCCCATTTCCACAATTGGCTCCTTTTCCCACAGTGAAGGCGCGAAGCCCTAGGCTATCAGAAAGGCATATCCTCACAAGAGAAAGACAAAGCAACATATGACATGGAACCAAAAAGTACAAACAAGAGACAGCGCAAACACCAAGACTTACATGGGGGGAGGGAGGGGAGGGGTGGGGGGGTGAAAGAGTGACTAGGGCGTACACGGTTGAGGTGCAGACCGCTAGTGTCTTTTGCTCACGCAGAGTCTTATCCTATACCTCTTGAGCCTTATGGCAGTCAAGCATGGACACACTAGATAGGCCACTGGAGTGGAACCTGTACAAGTAGGCCTTTACATTTCAGCAGGCACAAAATTCATGTCCACTCCTGCCTATTGCGTATGTCGCACACTATTTTTCTACCTTAAGGCTAAAACAGTCCAGCAAGCTCTAGTAAGCTTAAAAGGAAACCACGGTGCCCTGTACTTACCAATTCCAGTGTATTTCACACTTTAGAAAAGGTAATCTCTAGGTACACTAAATACAGTGAGGGAGCAATAGCTGACTCACCTCAAATACAAGGTCAAAGACAATGTATCTCGGCTGGAGACTGTATCGTTCACCGGCGAAGATACCATGTACCGGCGCTCAATAGCCCTTAAATAGCCAGAGCTTCAAAGAAACTTAAATTCAAAAGAAAGCGGCTTTCTTACACAGAGACCTGTAAAAGCAGTAAACGACACTCGCGTAACGAAGAACTAAAAGTCAAGACCGCACAAATAGTAAGGGCTCCGCCCTGGTGCCGCCGACCCCTTTTCTTGGGGGAGGAGCTGGAAGACCAGAAGCCGGACAGGGATTGCTATAAGCATACACCGGCTATGTGCTCAAGACTCTGTATTCTTGATTCCTTTTACCCGGGCTTAGGCTACACTACGGACGCGCCAGTGTATGCACAGTCCTTGTCAGGAAAGCTGAGATGAGCTGTGTGCCTGAAACCTTGACATATCACACTGGTGGTGCTTGCTGCCGGCGGCGCTGCTATAACCATACACCGGCTATTTCCTCAAGACACTCTATTCTTGACACCTTTTACCAGTGCTTATCCTACACTACGGACGCCCTAGTGTATGCACAGTCCTTGTGATGCTTACCCCTCGTTCCGGCTGAAGGCATAGATAAGCGGGGGGTAAATCGACCCCCCAGATTTGCCATAACCATAAGCCGGCTATTTCCTCAAGACACTCCACTCCTCATACCTTTTACCAGTGCTTAGCCTACACTACGGACGCCCTAGTGTATGCGCAGTCCGTATGAGGTTACCCCTCTTTCCGACTCAAGGCATACAAAAGCGGCGGGTAAATTTCCCCCCCCGATTTGCGGAGCACGCATGTTCATGCTTGCCAACGAGTGCACCCGGGTTGTTCCAATGTACCCTGCCCAGTGAGCGATGTCGCATTTACATTCTCTAGCGCCAAGTATGTACATAGCAAGCTGCCTCCCAAAACATGTAATCCCTACACGCTTTGCCGACTATGTAACTAGTACATCCGGTGCGACTCGGCTAGCGTTCGACCTGCTCCCCCTGGCTTCAAGTGATGCTTATCCCTCGTTCCGGCTCAAGGCATACATAGCGGGGGGTAAATTTCCCCCCAACATTGGCAATAACCACAAACAGGCTATGTCCTCAAGACACTCTATTCCATATACCTTTTGCCGGTGCGTCTCCTACACTACGGACGACCTAGTGTATGTACAGTCCGTATGATGTCAGAAATGCTTACCCCTCTTTCCGACTGAGGGCATACAAAAGCGGAGAGAATTTACCCCCCAGATTTGCTGATCACGCATCTGCGTGCCTGCCAACGAGCGCACCCGGGTATTTGCTGATCACGCATCTGCGTGCCTGCCAACGAGCGCACCCGGGTCGTTCCAATGTACCATTCCCAGGCTTCGCGAGGAGCGGTCACGCCCCTCGCGTTGGGTGACGGACAAGTCCAGTGACCTATATAGGGCGATATTACTTAGATTTAGATGTTTTTACAGTCAGCAATGACTCATTTCGTCAAGAGTGGCACGATGCGGTATGATTGTTTCAGGAGTAGGGTGAAGCAAATCCACGCTAGGGCCCCGCTGAAAAGCAAGAACGTTGCTAAGTCGGCAGGATGTCTCGTGGCGCTCCCCGAGTCTGCGCATGTGGTACTGCATCTCCTTGGCTCAGTCTTTTGTCCTCTGTCCCTAAAGGGGATCCAGAGAAGTTTCACAAAGATTGAGCACAAGAAGCACGTCAGCAGGCTTGTAATAGCTTGCAGATACATGTCGGGCACAAGAGAATACAATCCCCACAACAAATCAAATATGCAGGCATGTGTGGCCGCGACTGTTTTGACTTCCAACTATCTGATACGTAACAGAAAGGGTGCACTTAGCGCTTCTTTCTTGTGACGTCACTCAAAAAAAAGATCCAAGAACACCTCATCCACATACAGGATTAGACAAACCCAGAGCCAGCTGTACTTCCACCTGTACTTCCAACTCGTTTTTGTCAGCTTTCATCCAGATGCAAACTCAAATAGATCTCCGTTGCTCTCGCCGACACGATGTCATGGATGTCATCAGCGGTCTTCGAGGCGTGCACGCCGTGGCCGACTGTGACACCGGCGGGTGAATGTGGCGAGCCGGACGTGCTGTAGGTGCCCCTCAAATTCACTTAATGGGCAAGGTCCAAAATGCCTAACGTCGCCTTCGGAAGCCCATAAGAAGAGAGGAGGCTGCAGGCTTCGGACAGGCCACAGAGAGCCCGCAACAGGCCTGCCGGCTGCCGAGAGGCTTTTGAAGGCGGTCCAAAATGCCTAACGTCGCCTTCGGAAGCCCATAAG